GAGATCCTCATATCTCAGCCTCCTGAGTAGCTAGGATTACAGGCGTGAGCCACCAGCGCCCTGCTTGTGTATGGTTTTTAAAGTAGTTTTGTTGCTCTTTTTTGTGTGCAGATTTGGAGATGGAACTCAGGGCCTGGGAGTTGTTCTTGAGCTTTTCTCTTCTCAAGGCTAGCACCACAGCGCCACTTCTGGCTTTTTCTGTGTATGTAGTGCTGAGGAATGGAACCCAGGACTTCATGCATGCTAGGCAAGCAATGTACCACTGAGCCACCTTCCCAGCCCCTGTCGCAGGATTATTTATCATAGCTAAGATATGGAACCACCCCAAGATGCCCCTCAGTAGATGAATGGATCAAGAAAATGTGGCATATATGCACAATGGAATTCTATGCCTCCATCAGAAAGAATGACATTGCCCCATTTGTTAGGAAATGGAAAGACTTGGAAAAAAATTATATTAAGTGAAGTAAGGCAGGCCTAAAGAAACATAGGTCCTATGGTTTGCCTTATTTGCAGTAACTAGTATATGTCTGAGACAAGCAGAAACGGTCAGATAAGTTGATGTTAGACAAAATGAATCCCTAGATAAGGACTCAAATGGTGTTTTTTTTTTGTTATTGTTGTTTTTTTGTCGGTTGTGGGTTTTGAACTGTGGGCTTGGGTGGTGTCCCTCAGCTCTTCAGCTCAAGGCAAGCGCTCTACCACTTGAGCCACAGTGCCATTTCCGGTTTTCTAGTGGTTTATTGGAGATAGGAGTCTCATGGATGTTCCTGCCTGGGCTGGCTTTGAACCAAGATCCTCAGATTTCAGCCTCCTGAGTTGTTAGGATGACAGGCGTGAGCCACCGGCGCCTCAAATGGTTTTTCTTTCTTGCTATTGTTTCTAACATATTGATAAGATGATTTTTTTGTTGTTGCTTTGTATGTCCCTCCTCCAGGGTATAACCCCTGTTTTCACTGTATTAGATGTTGGTATAATTTGGGGAGGGGAAGGAAAAAACAAATGGCTTAAATAAGGATACAGGTGGACCCATTGCAACAATGAGATGTAGATGTACAAGACCTTATGTCGAAAAATGAACTTTGCAACTTTGGGGGGGGGGGGGGGGTAGGAGCTGGAAGGTAAGGGGAAAAAACTAAGGAGGCCACAATGCTTGAACCAAAAGATAAAAAAAAAAAAAGAATCTCAGATTTCTTGCTCAGGCTGGCTTCTAGCCTTTGTCCTTGGGTCTGTTTCTTTTTTTTCTTTTTTAAAATTAATTAATTTATTTTTTGATGGTCATGTGGCCTGAGCTCTAGGCCTGAGCATTGTCCCTCAGCTCTTCAGCTCAAGGCTAGCGCTCTACCACTTGAGCCACAGCACCACTTCTGGCTTTTTCTGCTTATGGGGTTCTGAGGAGTTGAACCCAGGACCTCATGCATGCAAGGCAAGCACTCTACCACTGAGCCACCTTCCCAGCCCCATGGGTCTCTGTTTCTTGAATAGCTAGGATTACAAACTGGAGCCATGGTACTTGACCTCTATGAGGTGCTTTTTGTAATATATAGTTTGACTACAGGACCTAAAGTACTTGCGATTTCTGCAGTAGAAATCATTAGGGTTATTTTGTTGTTGTTTTTAAGTCATAAACCAATGTTGTTTCTTGTGTTGATACTGGGGCTTGAACTCAGGCCCTGGGCACTGTCCCTGACCTTTTTCCATTAAACCACAGCTCCACTTTCTAGCTTTTTGTTATTGTTTTGTTTTTGTTTTTTGCCAGACCTGGAGTTTGAACTCAGCCTGGGCACTGTCCGTGAGCTTCTTTTGCTCAAAGCTAGCACTCTTACTACTTGAGCCACAGCACCAGTTCCCGCTTTTTCTGTTTATGTGGTGCTGAGGACTCGAACCCAGGGCTTCATGCATGCTAGGCAAGCGCTCTACCACTGAGCCACCTTCCCAGCCCTTCCCAGCTTTTTTGTGGTTAATTGGGGATAAGAGTCTCACAGACCTTCTTCCCCCACGCTGGCTTAGAACTACAATCCTGGACTTTTTGTTTGTCCTTTGTGAGGGTCTGTGTGGGTGATGGTGTTGCGTGACAAACAACCCAACCTGGAGCTTGCTGGGTTATTTTTTTATCTGTAGAAGATATTTGTAGTTTGTGTTTTTCTATATTGTATTCTCTGGTTTTGGCATCATGGCAGGGTAGATCTCCTATCTAGAATTAGCCTAACTAATTTTTCTTGAGAGATCATATTATTCATTGAGTGTTTGGCATTGAGACTAGGACTTGTTCTTCCTGCCTTGGCAACTTATTATTTAATTTTTTTTTTCTGGACATGGGGCTTGAACTCTGGGCCTGGGCGCTGTCCCTCAGCTCTTCAGCTCAAGGCGAGTGCTCTACCACTTGAGCCATAGCACCACTCCCAGTTTTCTGGTGGTTCATTAGAGATGAGTGTCAGGGACTTTCCTGCCCCAGCTGGCTTTGAACTGCAGTCCTCAGATCTCAGCCTCTTGAGTAGCTAGGATTACATGCATGGGGCACTGGGCCTGGCTTGGACTTGGATTTATTTATTTGCTTACTTTGTGTTGGTTCTGGGGCTTGAACTCATGGACTTTGTGCTGTGCCTGAGCCTTGGTGATCAAGGCTAGCACTCTACCATTTGAGTCACATCTCCATTTCTAACCTTTTTTTCTGAAAAATGTGGTTAATTGGAGATGAGAGTCTCATACCTTGCAGGTCTAGGCAGCCTTTGAACTGAGACCTCAGATCTTAGCCTCTTGTAACTAGGATTACAGGCATAAGCCACAGCACCAGGCTTGTATTTATTTTTAAGACAGGGTCTATGGTGCTCAAGCTGGTCTCAAATGGATCTCAGCTTCCCAAGAAGGTGGGAATATTGGCAACTGCCAACATACCCAGCTTTTGCTGATGTGCTTATAATTTCAAATTTAGTAGTTCTTTGATGAGATATAGCAAAATATCAGACATTAGATTGACCTATTACTATATTCTTTTATTATATCTTTGTTACTAATGAGAGGCGTTCTTTGGACTTCTATAAAGATAATCATGTAAACTGTCAAGAATTTTTTTTTTTTGTCAGTCGTGGGGCTTGAACTCTGGGCCTGGGCGCTGTCCTTCAGCTCTTCAGCTCAAGGCGAGCACTCTACCACTTGAACTACAGCGCCACTTCCGGTTTTCTGGTGGTTTATTGGAGATAGGAGTCTCACGGTCTCTCCTGCCCAGGCTGGCTTTGAACCGAGATCCTCAGATCTCAGCCTCCTGAGTAGCTAGGATTACAGGCGTGAGCCACCAGCGCCCGGCTAAGAAAGTTTTATTTGTACTTTCTCAATATCATTCTTTTTGACGTTTTCATTTTACTTATTTTTCAGAGAGCTCATAGTAGGGCTTTAACTTGGGGCCTGGATGCTGTCCTCTAGCTTATTCACTCAAGGCTGACATTGTACCACTTTCAGTTTTTTGTGGTTAATTGGAGATAATGGTGTCGTGGACTTTGTCCTGCCAGGGTGGGCCTTGAACCTTGGCCTTAAGGTGTGACCCACCAGTGCCAGCGGTATTATCCTTCTTGGATCCTTTATGCTACTTACAAATTGGATCTGTTAAAAAAAAAAAAAAGTAGGTACAAGCTTCCACCTGCCCTACCTTAGTGTAGTCAGAGAGGACGCACTGGACTCGGAAATTGGATCTGCTGGACCAGCTCGTTGCAGATGAATTGCTATGCGCCCTCCGATGGTTATATCTGAGTATTGCAAGTGTTCCCAGGGACAGGCAGAAGAGATAGATAGCATATTGTTGACATAATGTGTGTCAGAAAACTGGGGCCTTTTCAGAATGTCTGGAGAGGGGGGTGCTTTGTGCCAAAGCCTTTCTAACAATGTGCAGTCTCAGGACGAGTCCGCCTGCAGCTCTGTGCAGCAGGGGGGTAGTGAGAGGACTGGACCCAGTGCAAATCACTGGGTGATTTCAGAGCACGGTCAGTCTCCTCTCCTGATCTTGGGTGCAGACTTTCCAGACCCGGTGTGTGAGGATGTTAGTATGGAAGGGAAGCCTTGATGTGAGCAAACCTGGCAGGAACATTGTGAAGGCATAGCGTCATGTCAAACCTTTTATGAAAACGTGTAGATCTCTATTACTGTGAGTCTCACCCTCCCTCCCTGGTGTGCCGTTGTGACGTTTCAGGAGGCTGTGACCTTCGATGATGTGTTTGTCAACTTCACCCTGGAGGAGTGGGCTCTGCTGGATGCAGCCCAGCAGCAGCTGTACAGAGACGTGATGGTGGAGACCTTCCGGAACCTGGCCTCCATACGTAAGGACCACTTCCTTCCCTGACCTGCTCACTCAGGGAGCGAGGCACTGTTGTTCTCCCGTGCTGCTCAGTCATGTGGAATGTGGCATGAGAACATTTGGGTAAACCTGCCAGACATGCTCGTGTCACGCCATGAATGTAACTGGAATCTCGTGATTACTCTGTAAAGTCGTCATCATTTATAATGATGTTCTGGATCTATATTTTAGAAAAAGAACGGGAAGACCAGACTGTTGAAGAGGTGTGTAAAAGTCCCAAGAGATATCTAAGGTAATTTATACTTGCAAGAGAATGGAATGTTTCTTTACAAATCAAAACATGAGAAGAAATTTCTAAAACAGAAAACTATGCTGGTAAACACTGATTTCGTTTCAATATTTCCTCCAAAATACATTTAGGTTGAACAACCATAATCAGCATATCAAAAATCCAAAATGTTTTAACATTGGAAACATCTGGGCCTCCAGTTTCTTGCCACAAACAACGATTTCTGATGCTTTAAGGTAAGAAAAAGTGACGTTCAAGCTTTGGATATAAGGTGTATATGTAAAATAGAGATTTCGAGCTCTCTTCAAAATATCTCATATATATGCAGATATTTCAAAATTCAAATGCTTTGAACTCCAACTGTTCATAAGGGAAATACTCAGCTAACTATATAAAAGTGAAATACTGTGCCCATGTTTACAAAATACTCTCCCGGGAAGCATATGAAGATACCTAGCGATAAGACTGTATCTGCTTTTGCCATCCTGCGGAGCATCTGGGCATTTGTATTCTAAAATTCTAACGGGACATCAAACCGGTAGTTCTCCTGCTAAATCATGACAGAATAATGGCTCAGTAATGCCTTCTCACTTATTTCCAGGGTTCAAGATTTATGGAGATTCTGTGGACATAAAGAAGCTCTTCAAAGTGGAGAAATCTTCCACAGTACTCTAGATTCTGTTCTAAACATTAAAACCCCCGCTGGAGTGGAAGCAGGCGTCTTTGACATCTTCCTCAGGCATTCGTCCCTGAGTATGGCCTTCAGAACTTACTCTGACTCCAAACTCTATGAGTATCGGGAATTTGAAGAGAAGCCGTGTAAATGTACTGCGTGTGGGAGAGCCTTCAGCGACCCCCAGTGCTTCCAGAACGCTGACAGCACCAACGCAGGAGTGAGAACCCACGAGTGTCAGCAGTGTGGGAATGTCTTCAGTCATCCCACTTCCCGTAGGATACACAGACGAACTCACACGGGAGAGAAACCTTATGTGTGTCAGCAATGTGGGAAGGCTTTTAGTTCTTCCAGTTACATTAAAATCCATGAAAGGACGCACACTGGGGAGAAGCCTTACGTGTGTCAGCAGTGTGGGAAGGCCTTCAGCTATCCAGGTTATGTTAAGATACACGAAAGGACTCACACTGGAGAGAAGCCCCATGTCTGTAAGCAGTGTGGAAAAGCCTTCTTTACTTTGAGTGATGTTCGAAAGCACGAACGAACTCACAGTGGCGAGAAACCTTTTCTGTGTAAGGAATGTGGGAAAGCTTTCATTGATTCAAGTTCCTTGCACAAACATAAAATAACTCACACTGAAGAGAAGCCCTATGTATGTAGACAGTGTGGAAAAGCCTTCAGGTCTTGTGGTTACATGACCATACATGAGAGGACTCACACTGGAGAGAAGCCTTACGTCTGTAATCAGTGTGGGAAAGCATTCGGGCAATCCAGTCACTGTCTCATCCACGAGAGAACTCACACTGGAGAGAAGCCCTATGTGTGTAAGCAGTGTGGGAAAGCCTTCTTTACTCTCAGTGGTCGTCGGAAACACGAGCGAACTCACAATGAAGAGAAACCCTTCCTCTGTACTGAATGTGGAGAAGCCTTCAGTGATTCCAGTTCCTTACACACACATGAAATAACACACTGGAAAGAACCTCTTTCTCCATAAGCAATATAAGAAAGGTAGTTTGAGCAGACTCGGTGGAGAAAAGCCTCTATGTAAGGAATGTGGGAATACCTTTGATGATTCTGATTCTTTGCACAAATATAAAATGACGCACACTGGAAGGAAACCATGATGGCAAACAATGTTGATCAAGAGCCTTTTTGTTGGGTGATGCTCAAAGACATTATGAACTCACAGGGTAGAGAAATCCCTTGTACGTGAGCAGTGTAGAACAGCTACGAGCTATTCCACTTGTATTCAAATATATAAAGGGGGTCACAGTAGGCAGAGACTGTATTCAAAATGTAGCAGTGCCTGAGGACATACATCATGGAGAAAATAACCTACAAGCGTGAGCAATGTGAAAGTCTTCATTTCTCAAATGACATAAGACATGAACAAACCCACTGGGCAGAAATGCCTTGTGTGGTCTGATTTAGGGTGAAACGTCTTCCACTGACTTCATCCCCAGCGGGTGCTGCTATGTTAGGTGAGGGTGGTGGAGATTGACTGTTGAAGGTTTTGCCTCGCCTCGCCTCTGCTCCTCCTCTCTTCTCTCCCTTTCCTCTGTGAGTCTGTAGCCTCAGCCTCAGTCTCCAGCTCCGTAACATTCTGCCCCTTTAGGGTCCACAATCAATAATGCCAGACTGTAGCGGAAATCTGGACCTTTGTGCTAGGTGGTGGGATTTAGAATTTCAAGATTAGCATGCGCTAATCTTAGTTGGGAGTCCTTCTGGGGTGCATAAGAGGCCTCATCTAAAAAAAGTCAGACATGATAAATGAATAAATCCTTTTATTTATGTTGTTTGTGTCTTGTATTTTGTCAGAGCAACTGAGGAATTTAACTCTTACAAACCTATGTATGTAAACAATGGGGGATGAGAACATTCTAGCAACTTGAGGATGGAAAGCTAGTACAAATAGAGCATATGGTAGGTGGGCCTGTTGGGTATACAGATTTGAAAACACAGAATGGAGAGAATAGGGTAGCGGGGAAGGTGGCTCAGCGGTAGAGCGCTTGCCTTGCATGCATGAGGCCCTGGGTACGATTCCTCAGCACCACATAAGCAGAAAAAGCTGGAAGTGGCACTGTGGCTCAAGTGGTAGAGCACTCCCCTTGAGCTGAAGAGTTGAGGGACAGCGCCCAGGCCCATACCGACCAAAAAAAAGAAAAGTCGTGGATATTCTGTGGGTAGGGAAATCATAGATACACAAATATTCCTGTGTCAATTTCTCCAGAGTATATAATCTGAAGGAAGTATTTTCAAAATGAATCTAGTAAAGATTTTTATCTTCTGGTTGCCAAGTTTCTTCTTACAAAGAAATGAATGTAATAAGCTATTTTGAAATTATACCAACATGATACAATGAAACAAAGAAATTCTCATATAAGTTTTTATTTACTGAGAAGATAGACACTATGCCACCATAAACATAAACTAGACCAAATTTTCAAATTTATGCTTTTGATGTGAAGACATTTGTGTGTACAACTAAGTGGGTTTTTTTGTTTGTTTGTTTTGCCAGTCCTGGAGCTTGAACTCAGGGTCTGGGCACTGTCCCTGAGCCTCTCTGCTCAAGACTAGCATCTACCACTTGAGCCACAGCGCCACTTCCAGCTTTTGCTGTTTATGTGGTGCAGTGGGATAGAACCCAGGGCTTCATGCATGCTAGGCAAGCACTCTGCCACAAGTCACATTCCCAGCCTGCTGTTTCCCTTTCTATGGGCCAGCTACCCACCTTCAACCATGGTACAGAAGTTAATGTTACCTGTTGGGGATTGGGCTGTGTAGAAGAGCACTTGCCTGGCAATGCAAGGCCCTAAGTTCAGGCCTCAGCTCAAAACAAGAACCCCTGACCACTTGCTCACGCCTATAATCCTAGGTATTCAGGATGCTGCCATCTGAGGATCCCAATTTGAAGCCAGCTTATCCTAGGCCATAAAGCAATATATGGAAAGGTGAACAGTGAAAAGGCTTAGTAAGAAATTTTATTTTTTTGTTATTGTTAGGTGTGGGGCTTGAACTCAGGGCCTAGGCGCTGTCCCTGAGCACTTTTGCTCAAGTCTAACACTATTGCTTTGAACCACACTTCCGCTTAGTGATTGTGCTGATTAGTTGGAGATAATCTCACAGACTTTCTTGCCTGGGCTGCCTTTTTTTGGGGGTGGGGGGTCTGGTCATGGGGCCTGAACTCGGGGCCTGGGCACTTTCCCTCAGCATTTCAGCTCAAGGCTAGAACTCTACCACTTGAGCCACAGCACCACTTCGGGCTTTTTTTCTTTTTGCTTATGTGGTGCTGAGGAATGGAACCCAGGGCCTCATGCATGCAAGGCAAGCGCTCTACCACTGAGCCACCTTCCCAGCCCTGGGCTGCCTTTGAATCATGATCTCAGATCTCAGCCTCCTGAGCAGGTAGGATTACAGGTGTGAGCCACCAGTGCCCAGTTCAGTGTGGATTCTGTTAGGCTCTCAAGGCAGAGAGGAACAACCAAAGGCTTTCCCACATTGCTTCCAGGCAAATGGTTTCTCTCCACGGTGAGTTCTTTAATATACATGTAGGTAACTAAGAAAGGCTTTCCCACAATGCTTACCCCTACAGGGCTTCTCTTCAGTGTGGATTCTTTCCAGTAGCAGCGTTATATTTATGATATGTTGTTTTAAGGCTTTATAAACCACACACTCCTATAAACCTTTCCCACTCTCTTGTTAACCTTTCCCACATTTCATGTGCTCTTAAATACTTTCTTCACTTTTTTTTTTTTTTTTTGGCCAGTCATGGTGCCTGAACTCTGGGCCTGGGCGCTGTCCTTCAGCTCTTCAGCTCAAGGCTAGCGCTCTACCACTTGAGCCCCAGCGCCACTTCCAGCTTTTTCTGTATATATGGTGCTGAGGAATCGAACCCAGGGCCTCGTGCATGCAAGGCAAGCACTCTACCACTGAGCCACCTTCCCAGCCCCCACTTTCTTCACTCTTAAACCTACATTTTTTTAAAGGGGGGAACATCCCTGGGGCTTGAACTTGGCCTGGGCACTGTCTCTGAGCGATATTCAAGGCCAGAGCTCTACTACTTTGAACCACAGCCCCACTTCTGTTTTTCTGAGGACTAATTGGAGATAAGAGTCACACGGACTTTCCTGCCTGGGCTGGCTTCAAACCTCGATCCACAGATCTCAGCCTCTTGAGTAGCTAGCATGATGGGTGAGCCACTGGCGGCTGGCTATAAATCTTAGTGCTTATGATTCTGTATAACTATTCTCACCAAGACCACAGTCTCACCTGGGCAACTTTAAAGGTCTCCCCTAAGTAAATTCTCAAATGCAGAAGTACTTTCTAAGTTCAGCTAAATGCCTCTTTGAGGTCAGTCCCTGCTGCAAGTCAGTTATGTAAGACCTCTGCCAGCTCTAGTTCTTACCAGTTTCCCACCAACACAGATAAGCCCAAGTGCCAACCTTGGAATAAGGAGCAAAAGTATCTGCACTTAAATTCTTGGGTAAATCAGATAAGGAAAACTACAATACACGTTAGATTATAAAACTAGCAAATAATCTTTTGAGAATACAAAAGTTCCAACAAACTTTATTTTCCTATCAAAACACTGCTACCGAGGAGACTAATCCATTCTTTTTTGTTGTTGTTGGTCATGGCTTGGGCGCTGTCCCTCAGCTCTTCAGCTCAAGGCTGGCGTTCTACCACTTGAGCCATAGCACCACTTCTGGTTTTGTGGTGGTTTATTGGAGATCAGAGTTTCATGGGTTTTCCTGCCTGGGCTGGCTTTGAACTGTGATCCTCAGAACTTAGCCTCCTGAGTAGCTAGGATGACAGGTGTGAGCCACTGACACCCAACGACTAATCCATTCTTAAGTACAAGACTGAAAGGAGAGAGAAAATATAGCTGCATCACTCAAAATTTTAATTTATCCTAGAGGTCATGTACAGGGGTGACAATGACAAGTCATAATGAGTACATTTTCTTTCGTCCAGTGTCTTCTGTCCTCGTTCTCTCTGTCCCTCCCTCCTGTTTCCACCCATGAGTTTGTTTTGTTTTGTTTTTTTGGGTCCAGTTGTGGGGCCTGAACTCTGGGTCTCGGCACTGTCCCTCAGCTCTTCAGCTCAAGGCGAGCGCTCTACCACTTGATTCACAGCACCACTTTTGGCTTTTTTTCTTTCTGTTTATGTGGTGCTGAGGAATCGAACCCAAGGCCTCATGCATGCAAGGCAAGCGCTCTACCACTGAGCCACCTTCCCAGCCCTCCACCCATGAGTTGTATAGTTCTCTTTCATCCACGATCCAGTGAGCTCCACTGTTGGACTTTTTCACCCTTTTCCCCTCAATTTCTGTGCCTCCCTCACCCCTCTGAAGATATATATACACACGTGAATGCACCATACATAAGGTAAAGAAGACAAAATCATCAAAAACTAAAAACTTGAGCAAAAAAATCTTTGTTTCCATATCTTGGAGCGCATTTCAGTATGAATGGTACTTTATATGAATATGAAGACGCACTTAGGCATTGTTTCTTTCATAAGAGCATCCCCTCACTGTGTCTCACAGTGTCTGAGTGGAATCCTATATAATTTGTCATATCCCAGTGCATTTTTTTTTTTTTGTCGGTCGTGGGGCTTGAACTCTGGGCCTGGGTGCTGTCCCTCAGCTCTTCAGCTCAAGGCTAGCGCTCTACCACCTGAGCCACAGCGCCACTTCCGGCTTTTTCTTTTTGCTTATATGGTGCTGAGGGATTGAACCCAGGGCCTCATGCATGCAAGGCAAGCGCTCTACCTCTGAGCCACCTTCCCAGCCCCTATCCCAGTGCTTTTTGTTTTATTGTATTTTTGCCGGTCCTGGAGCTTGACCTCTGGGCCTGGGCACTGAGCTTCTTTTGCACAAGGCTAGCCCTCTACCACTTGGGCCGGAGCACCATTTCCAGCTTTTTCTGTTTGTGTGGTTCTGAAGAATCAAACCCAGGGCTTCATGCTTGCTCGGCCAGCACTCTACCACTGAGCCACCTTCCCAGCCCATCTCATTGTCCTGAGACAGAGTGATCCTGGAACTCATCAAACAGTTCAGAGTGACCCCTTAGGATGTTACTGCCCTGGTCTCCTGACTCCTGAGTTACCATGTCCAGCTTTGTCGTATGCCATTGGTGGTGCTTGAACTCGGGGCCTGGGAGCTGCCCCTTAGCTTTCTCTTTCAAGGAGGGTGCTCTACCACTTGATTCACATCTCCATTTCTGACTTTTTGCTGGATATCTGGAGATCAGAATCTCATGGACGTTTCTTCATAGGCTGGCTTTGAACCAAGATCCTCAGGTCTCCAGCTTCCGGAGAAGCTAGGATTACTGAGCAACTTGGCGCCTGGCCCGTTTGCTTTCTCTCGATTCCTCCGTAGAATGTTCTCGCCATGCCTGCACTTGCTCCCAGCACTTGCTAATTAGATATGTGTGTGTGTTTTATTGCCTTTGCTGAACCCAAGAGATAACCTTCGCCAGGAAGCCGAGTGGTCATACTCCCCAGCGTCCGCCCGTGTGCCAACCTCGGGCAGGCCCACCTCCCGACCCGCTGAGGCCCGGCCTGGCCTAGCTGAGCCTGAGGAAGAAGAGCCACGACAGCCCATCAAATCACTGGCGGCCAGGCCTGGAGCAGGTGCTGCGCGCCCACCCGCCCAGGCAGTCAGGCCGGGGAGGTACCTCCCACCCCCGCCTCCGTCCACTCAGGCCTCCCGGAGGGGCGGGGCTTCGCCTGTCGGCCAATCAGAGCGGCAGGTGGGCGGTTCAGGGGGCGGGCCCGCTGCTCACCG